AAAGCAAGCGCATTATTAGTCCGGATTTCTAGCGGCAGTATTTACTCCTGAACTTACTCAAACTTTTGGGAAAAATTCCAACAAGATGTAAACCTTTCCTCACTTTGTTCTCTTTGTTTGCACACATCAATTCATAATTGCAATGGTGGGAAGTCCTTAAGAAGTCTCTATGTAAAACAATAGGCTCCAATCCTCCCCCCACCCTTTTTAACAATAGTCTACACCTTCTTGTCCACCTGGGGCCTTCCACTATCTTCATTTTCCTATTTATCTTCATAAAAAATAGCAATATTAATTTTTGTTTATATCAAACTTACCATAAACAATTAGTGTTACAAAGGAACTAGTTGAATTTTCCTTATTTCTTGCTGTACATTTGTAAGTCCCCTTCATCTCTTTAGTGACACGTGGCAATTCCAGGATTGATTCTCCTTCTTGATCGGTTTGATAGATACCAGATGGTAGGTCACTATTATTAAAATACCAGACAAATCTTGGTGTTGGTATTCCTGACGCTCGGCAGCTAAAGTTGACAGAGTATCCTTCGGTAACAGTCTGGTTTATCGGAGTGATCTGGGGAGAGACTTGAAATAAAGAGAACGTCAGATTCAACAAGGGTTCATATCAACCACTTTAACGCCGATCCTCACCCCACCCCTATTAAGTGAGACAAGAATAAAGTTTGATTCTATTTCTTTTTTCTAACTTCATTTTGCAATAGGTTTCATTACTTTGGCACTAACAGGTCTCAATCAAACCAATTTTTCACATTTGTGACATAATACTTTTTTCCTTCTTAAGATATTTTTTGTCTCTGATAACAGGGGGCAATAACAAATTATCTACACATGTTTGTTTATTTATTTATTTTCATTCTTTGTTTAGTGTGACGTGAACAACGTATACTACCAAGCTCCAGGTTGCCAGTTTCTCTAAGATCATGGTATACACTTACTTCGGTTATAAGTAAGCGAGTGATCAAAACTATATAAAGCGCTGGTATTCCACGACAACAAAGAGTAAAACTTTTTTTGATGAATCCATTTGCAAATTGGCCATTTAACAAAAGTAGGACCACACAAACTGTTCATTAATGTACAATGGTGATGCTTGTTTCCATAGTTTTTCCCGAAGATTTAACTGTTGTCAGTACTGGCAGGATATCTAATGTGAAAATCAACTGTATGTGATTGGGAACGGTTCTTTAGAAAAAGGTATGAGTGATGGTAAGTGTAACTCAAAGAAACTACAGGGAAGTTTCTTTATAGCCTTTCCGAAATCAATTCTTTTGATGAAAAATATAGTTTATGATGTAATGATGGCCACCTTGACCAACTTCAACGCCCTCATACTCATACATCTTTATTTAACTAGGGTAACATATTAACTTACAAAGTTTTTTCACATATGGCCCTCGACTTCCTATCCATCCCACTCCAGGGGTGAACATCCATCACACGCTAATCTCGTGTGTGGGAAGTTAACGTCTCCTACCTCAACCTCCATTAATTCCTCCCTATCCGAGAAGACTAGAATATCTAAGACCTTGATTGTTGGTCCGGCCGGGGCTCGAACCCTCGACCTCCCGCACAACAGTCCAGCGCACTATCCATTGGGCT